TCTTCTTTGAGTCGGGCCTAGACGAGCCCTGATGGAGGGAACTTGGCCACAACTCCACATCCTCGGGGTCTCGAGACATTCTTCCTAAGTGACTTGATAGCAAGAAATTTGGCCATCTTCTCGAGCGTTTTTCAAAAGGAAGCGATGGGAAACGATTCTGACACCCAACTTCTCAAGCTTCTCCTGACGACGTCATACTGATGACTAAACCTATGGTGCGAGTTTCTGCGTTAACCGGGACATCCTATGGACTTGTGTTTTTGACATCATTCAATGTGTTGTCGATTCCCGTCCTCCAAGGTGAAAGTACCACTATCGATTCAGTTCTTCATGAATGAAGTAATTGCGTCCGCCGATCAGTCTTCCAAAGGCCTCGATGACCGCGTTGTTATCTCCTATAAATGGGGGCATTCTAGAGTTATTTTTCTATCCAAGTGCCTTCATCCACTCATTCACCCTTTTCTCCTTATCATCTTCCTCTATTGTTTATCAATATGTTTGGATTCTACGGCCTCAAGGTCGTTTGGAATCATTCTGATAAGCCGTTTTGTGGTCATTTGCCTGAGCTCCTCTTTATTGAGCGCGACTGTGCCGTTCTGTCGTGACTATGCCTTCTCTGCACCCCCTCCTTTTCCTCTTCTTCATCTTTTCCCTTGGTGAGGGTTTCCTGTGGGATTGAACTGGGAGCCTAGAGGAGATGGCGGTTGAAGAAGTTGCCTTCGAGGATGCGAGCTCGAGGGGGTGGCGCTCGAGGATGCTAATACCGGAGATGGACCTTCGAGGATGGACTAGGTTCTTAGGCTTTCGTTGTATGCACACCCTTTAACTTCATTGTTCTTGTATAAGGATTCCCTTGCGAGCTTTCATAACCATATGTAAGGACCNTTTGATACTTGCTGTATTTCTTTAGGTTTGCGGAGATTTCGAATGTATACCTTTGTTGACGATCGTCAATATTTTTTCTGGCCTTTGGTCAACAGAAATGGCTCCCTTCCGAGCTCATCGTTGTTCCCAGAATCAAGCCTGAAGCGGTCCAGTAAACTTGGATCATCGGGGTCCTCGACCTCGCGGAGATAGAGCACCGAAATGAAAGTCAACTTCGGGTGCTTTGAGCTTTTACTTTGAGCTTTGACGTAGATATCCTTTTAAGATGTTTGTAGGCAGGTTTCTGAGGAAGGGGCTATTCGTACTTAGGTGACTACCTGAGGTCGAGCCCTCATGGACGGAGCTCGAAGTGCTTATTTTTCTTCTCGAGGGAAAACTTCGAGGTCAGGTACCACCTCAGAATTGGTGATGATGTCGCTGACCCTTTAGGGCCTAACTTCTTCTTGACGGAGATCTCTGGGGTCATGTGCTACCTTGGGATCTGTACCGAGGACGTTGGCCTCCGGGGACTTATCTCGGGTAGGCAAATCGGTGTTGTTTCCAACATATACATGGGGTGGCTCTTGCTTCTTTAGAAGATCCCATTATTTTCGATAGCTATCCTTCCGCCGTGCCATCGAGTCCTTTGTTACCTTAAGCGCAAAAAGTGTTGGTGTAGGTCCCTGCTTCAATTTGCCAATTCTACCATAGTTATGACTGCTATTCAGCCCCTGTCTGGCAAGGAAGGGAGAGTTCCACTCCCAGTGCTCAGGATCCGCGAGAGTTTACTTTGAAGACTATGTCTTTGATAAGAGAGGAACATCTGGAGATGGTGAGAGAAACTGCGGATGCGGCGAGGGGGTAGCGTTGCAGGTGCTTTCCCCGAATGAGTGTATTACGGACCCTGCTGACAGATTCTTGAATGTGTACTTATACCCTTTCGCACTAGGACCCCTCAATAAGGCCGTGCTTGATTTCTGCCTAAAGTACTGGATTACTTTGATGCAGATACATTCATCATTTTGGCAAGTAGTGCTAATGATGAGATTCTTTGTGGAGAAGGCGGCGCTTGAATTCATGCTTAGTCACCTCGTCAGGTTGTACCGACCCTTTCATCATCGAGGTCTTCTAACCTTGTGGTGCAGTTCGTCCATACCCTTTGTTGTTGATGATGAGGAAGATGGGGATCGAGAGTGTGTCAGTCGATTCGTCCGGGTCCATACGACTGACATTATCCCCGTGGAGCTCATCCATTTCCCGAGGGATGGAATTATGCGCGTGAGTGGAGTGTATCGTCCTTTCTTAGATTCGTTTGTAGCGAGAATAAGTTTGGTAATTGAGTTTCCTTCTTTTCTGTAGCAACTTTGTAGGCGCCGGGTGAAGTTCCCGATTTGCTCGGCTGGGTTCGGAGGTTGGCGACCCATTCGACTTGCGATGAGCGTAGGTGGTGAGCACTGTCTTGGGGAAGATGGGAAGCAAAATACCAAGGTATGTGCGTGCACTGCTTTTACCTTGGTCTCCGTATATTTGAGATAACATTTTCCTCTTTCTTTTGTACTGGCTTTGCCATCGTAGGTATCGGAAGGTCCCCAGGGGCGAGGTTGTGCTCCTCCGGAGAGGTGGAGGAGTTGTCGGCTTCCAATCCAAGGGAAGATGGTGATAAACGAGATACGCACTAGCAGTGCAATGGAGCTTTTTGCGGGGCTAAGCGAGTGCGTGTCTCCGAGGAGAAAACATCGCCCGAGCCTACTGTTTCTGAAGTCTCCGGTCCAGAGTAATGGTTCCTGCGAGTGATCATGCTTCGACCAATGTTGGTTCTTCTAGGGCTGAGGGAGCTGGACCAATAAGAGTGTGCTCGGCCTTCGAGGAAGTTCGTCGGCTTCACTTCGCGGTAAGTTTCGGCATAGTCTCTCCGCATGTTGTGTCTTCCCTTCCTTATCGTGTTTTTCTTCTGCAGGCCTTTGATAGGCTCGGGTCTGAGCTTCTCCCTCTGGGGCTAGGCTTCGGAAAGCCCTGGATGAGGGTAGGTCCTTTAGGCTCCTCAGCAAGGAGAAGGAGGTTGAGTTCATGCACTGGCAATATGAGGCATTTCGGAGCTCGAATTATGAGAGCTATTTGATGGAGAAGGTAACCTCTTGTAGTATGCGTTTCGCTTTTTTAACCCTTAAGGTTAATATTTTTGCCCATCTCAGTTGCAGAAAAAGATGGAGGCTCTGGAGTACCTTAGGGTTGAATCCGACCGAGTTAGGAATGATTATGGTGAACTAAGAGCTCGGGTGAAGGCTCAAGCTTCAGAGGAGAAGGGTGCCTTGGCTAAAATTCCCGCCTTCGAGGCCCAACTCCGCTTGGCTTGTAACAACGCTTCAGTTCAAGCGAATATGATCGCGAAGCTCGAGTCCGAACTCTAGAATGTCAGGGCTGAAATCATCGATACTCGTGGTGAAGTAGCATTGAGTCATACTAAGGCTGATCAGGATTTGGCAATTCATTTGAAGGGCGCTACTAATGCCCGAGCCGAGTTGAAGAGGGCCCTCGATCGTGAATAGAGGATCGAGGAAAATGTCCGTTGCAGATCCCAAAGAGAGGTACTTGAAGAGATCGGCGCTAGGGGTTTTGTTCTCCTGGGAGAGCTGGCTCGAGTGAGGGTGGACGAGCGTGATGCTGGGTCACTTCTTGCCGATGCCACGGAGATTGAAGATGAGGCTGGTAGGTCGTAGCCTCTTGGAGCGGGGCATAGACTTTGCTATTTTGTATGTGATATTCGTAGAGCATGTTTATAGATAGAGAACACACTTTTTCCGTATGTAAATAAATGAATGCCTAAAGCTTTATCTCTTATATATCCCTTTCTACTTCGGTTTTGACTAGGCGGGCTGGTTTCAGGGTTGGCGAGATTCCTTAGATTCGTAACACAGTTCTGGAGCTCATCAAGCAGGCCCGGAGGCTATTATACGCTTGGTTGATACGACCTTTAGTGCAAGTTGGTGTTAGAGCTCTTATGCTTTGTACAACTATTTTGGGTTTAGTCTCCAAGTTGGGTTTCGACTCGAGCCTATTCGACCCTCAAGATTTTGCGTCTGCATGGGCGGGCGATAATGGCTCTTACGCATTGCCCTTGGGCATTTGTATATTAATTATTTTGGGTTCAATCTCCGAGTTGGGTTGCGACTTGAGCTCAATTGACCCTCAAGTTTTTTTTTGTGCTGGCGACAGTGGCTCTTACACTTTGGGTCGAAGTGACCTTTTATGTATGTGGACCTGAGGCTTGTAGAGCTGGCGATGATGGCTCTTACGCTATGCCCTTAGGCATATATAGTTAACTATTTTGGATCTGGTCTCCGAATTGAGTTACGACTCGAGCTCATTTTAATCCTCAAGTTTTCAAGTTTTAAACTGGTGACAGTGGCTCTTACGCTTTTTGTCGTTGTGACCTTTTAGTGTGTGGCCCTGAAACTCGTTTGGCTGGCAACAACGGCTCTTACACTTTTGACCGTGGGCATATGTTGGCTTTGTTTTCCTCTTGTTAAGGACTTTTTAAAATGATTTTTCCTGACCCGTCATCGGTCCGGGAAGAACCTCGATTTCAAGTCATTAGAGGCGATGTTCGAGCACCTCGAAAGGTTTAGCTCGTAGTCTGAGTAGCTCGAAGCCTTGTGATTTAGAGCTAACATGGTCGAAGCTCGTTTGCCTGTTGAGGGTAGCCTGTTTAAACCAGTTCATTCCGAAGTAGATTCGAAGTAATGTCCTGTGATTTTGTTAGCGACGGTCGGGCGTCCCCAAGTCGTGTTAATTTGGCTGGTGCATCCATTTTGACCATAGTCATATATGTTTGGTTGGAGACGTTTTTGATCCCGAGTGTGATAGTTTTGGCATCTACATCGAGGGTATTCCCTTTTAGGAGTCTTACAAATGCGACACATAGCCTAAACTTCGGGATTGGGTTTTATGCCTGCAGTAAGGTCTTACAAAATTTTCATGCCTATTGAGGTCTTGCAGTTTTGTCATGCCTGTTAAGGTCTTACAGTTTTTGTCATGCCTGTTGAGGTCTTATAGTTTTTGTCATGCCGTTGAGGTCTAACAATTTTTGTTTCTATGTTGAATAGATCTTGCTAAACCGAGTTTGCCCACTCGGGGTCTTATGGCCTCGGGTTTTTCAGTGAGTGTCGATTGGTGAAAGTCTGCGAGTATCGAGTTTGCTTAGGCTCGAAGGTCGTTGCTTGCGAGTTCGGAGTTGCCTCATTGAAGGCATACGAGCATGGAGTTCCAACCTTGATGTCATGTTGGAGCCCAAATCCGAAGCCACCGTGCACCTCGCCATAGCCACCAACAGATGTCCCAATATGACCATTAAAATCCCCTCTTATAAATAACTTCTCCGTAGGTGAAGTACCCCGCACCACCTCATCCAACGCCTTCCAGAAGCGTCTTTTGACCTCTTCGTCCAAACCCGCTTGCGGCGCGTAAGTGCTAATGGTATTTAGAGTGCTCCCTCAAACTACTAACTTAATCTCCATCAATCTGTCATTTACCCGCTTAACCTCTACTACTAACTCTCTGAGCTCCCTATCCACCAAAATACCCACTCCATTCTTGCCCTTCTCGCCTCCGGAGTATCACAACTTATATCCGTCCACATTTTTCGCCTTCGATCCTACCCACCTAGTCTCCTGAACACACGCTATGTTGACCTTCCTCTTCTGGAGAATCTTTGCCAGCTCTATAGACTTCCCCGTCAATTTCCCTATATTCCACGATCCAATTCTCAACCTATAGGCACCCTTGCTCCCCTTTCCCCCATTGGGCTAGTCCCCCTACCCCTTGCCCTACCCC